ATGCCGAACAACAAACAGAATGCGGAGCCCTGCTGCCTCTGAGAAGAGCTTTACTGTTTGGCAGTCAGTAGTTGCCTTTACTTATTCCCTCAACGAATATATTGAGCCCTTTCTAAGTGCCAGGGCCATGCTAGGTGCTGGAGAAATAATGCACCTCTGGGACCTGGGACCTGGACTCTTTCTGAATAAAGCCTACATAGTGTGTGTGTGTGTGTGTGTGTGTGTGTGTGTGTGTGTGTGTGTGTGTTTGGGTGTGTGTGTGTCTTAAAAACAAAACAAGATCTTAGCTGGCCATGATGGATATGACAGGACAGAGAGGTCTTAGTCACTTTTGGATGTGAAACCATCATGTGTGCAAAGGCCCTTTGTGGGGAGGGCGGGCACAGAAAAGTGAGACATAGAGCTGGAGAGCAATGATGGAGACTTAAGGTGGTACCCAGAGCACATGGTGCTGGGCCAGGGAGAAATTTGGTAGGTAAGGAGCCTCTTGGGAGGCTGGTGTTGGAGCTCAGTTAGTATAGTACTTGTCTTGCATGCAGAAGGCACTGGGTTCAGTTCCCAATACAGCATAAAACTGAGCATTGTGGAACAAGTTCGTAATCCCACATTGGGCAGGTGGAGGTGGAGGGACCAGAATTACGGTCATCCTAGACCACACAGTGAGTTTCAGGCCAGTTTGGGCTACAGAGAAGAAGAAGACCCCTGGCCTTTCATCTTAAAAGAAACAGGAAGTCACTGAAAGGTTCATTCACATGGGAGGGGGTGGACTTTCCGTGGGAAATGCCTGCATTACATTTCCATTTTGAAAAGATTATTCTGGCTGCAGAACTAACCTCTTTTAAGGTAAGTTCTGTTCAGCAAAACCAATAAAGGCAGTGTGGCGGTGCCAGGGGAAGTAGAAGCCGGTTCGCAGCCAGATCTGGGTTTGAGTCCTGACTGTATGACCTCAGACAAGATGGCCTTTCAAAGCCTCAGTTTCCTTGTCTATAAAATGGGATACTAATATCTCTGGTGCTCTTGAGAGGGTTAAAGGAATGACAATAAATAAATAAAGTCTTCCTATAAGTTATTCTCTGAAGTAGAAACTGGTGCTGATCTTATGTATTACCTAACATCCAGCCAGTTATTCTCAGATGAGACACCTTGGACTTCACATGAATTTCAGTTGGCTCTACATCCATCATTTGGAAATCATCACTCCTGCCTCTTCAATGACAAATGCACGACAAACACAGCCACTCATTTAGTTGGCCGTATAAGCTGTGGCTATCCACCCTTCCTATCATGGTCTTTGTCAGATGCAGAGATGAGCAGCCAGGAGGCAGACAAATGACAAGCGCATGGATAGAAGCCGAGGGCTGTGGGAAGGGGTGTGTGGGGGGGGGGGGGGGGGGGGGGGAGGCGTGGGAGATTTACTGGTAATGAGTAAGCGACTATGGTGGCGTCCTCTCGTTAGAGTGGGGTTAGCATTTTTATTCTGTTATAGCCCTGTGTTCTGCATGTACTTATGTCTGTGTCAGCCCGGGGTCCTGCCAGAATACAATTCAGTGGCTCTTAAGTCTAAGTGTGGTCAGAATACACAAGAGCCTACTCAGAGTCTTCTACTGGCCAATGACGAGATGATGCCAGCAACGACAATGTGTAATGGGTCACATATATCCATCTAGATTCTTGCCTTATACTTAAGAACAGTCATCACTGCAAGTAGGTGAAATGAGGCCAACAGAGGACCTTGGATACCTGAGAGTAAAGGCAAGGAGTCAAACATTTATCTTGCCTCTCTGATATGTAATTAGTAGATATGGGGAAGATTTTTCTTATTGTTTGATGAACTGAGGCAACACCTCCCACCAGGCCGTTTTAGCTGGCCTGGAACTTGCTGTGAAGACTGGGCTGGCCTTGACTTTACAGAGACCCAGCTGCTTCAGCCTCCTGAGCGCTAGAATTAAAGGGACGTGTCCCAGGGCCTGACTTTGGTTTTTGACCATTTTAACAGAAATATTTCAGCTAAAAAAAATGAAGACATGGGAAGGACAGAGTCAGAATATCACTCTTTTGTAATTGTCAGTGGTTGTAGACATTAGCTCTCAGGGACTGCTAATGTCATGGGAAGATGCCCCTGTTATGTGCCTCCTAATGGGAAAAGATAGCCCTGTTATGTACCTCCTAATGGGAAAACAGTGCTCTCGCCTACACTGAACCAGGTACAAATACACAGATCTAACCTCCTATTTGTACAAAAGAGAGACTGGGGGTATGTTAATGACACAGTGAGAGGCTACAGGAAAGAGAGAATAGGATTTGTTAAACGACACAGACCGTGAGAGACTAGAGAAAAGAGAGAGAGTGAGCAGAGAGAGACTCTATGACGTATGCTACCTGTTTACCTCTCTAGAGGTGGTGGCATCCAGGAGAATGGAGCTGATAAGTGAGGCCGACTGAAGTCTCACGCATTAGCCGGCTTTATTCAGAGCACCAGACAGTTTATACTCTGTGGGTTAAGAAGAGTCACACGAGAAAAGTGTCCAATCACATGGGCAAGCAGCACGTGGCAGACAAGCCTCCGGTGGTGAAAACGTGAACATGAAAACACTAGCCGGCTGTACTGAGTAAGTAACAAAACCCAGAAGTAAATTCACTCCTGTAAGCTACACCCGGGAGGAGCACAAAACACATTCCAAGAACCATCTTGTGGTTTGAAAGAAACACAAGTCCCCGGACTCTTGGCTTCTTGAAGTTTTCCCACAAGCTCTCTGAAATCTCCTCATAGGATTCCATTCTTGGACCCTGCTCTGATACCCACCTAACTACAATTGTACATTTAGCAGCCAGGGAAAGTATGAAGCTCTGTAAGTGGATGCATTTTAAGATAAATGATTCAATAGCTACAGTTTAAATTAGGAGAGTGGACAAGGTGTCAATAAAGCAAGATGAGGCATGAGTCGATAGTTGTTGAGGGTGAACAGGACTTCTGGATTGTCTAATATTTTTCATAAAAGAAACAGTTCAGAAACCTATTAGTCAACCTCTCTGCCCCCTTCTTTTAATACTAAAGGCATTTACTGTTATTAATAACGTGACGCTAACCTGCTAGCTCCCTGGGCTGACTCAGCATTTCAAGCTTTATAAATTTGAATTCTCCTCTTATGAAAACCAGACCATCTGTGGTGGGGGCAGGGATGGCATTCTGTAACTCAGCTCTCTGACTCTTCCCGTACTCCTTTAAGAAATGAGGGCAGAGATGGTGGTTCTTAACCTTCTTGATTCTGTGACCCTTTAATACAATTCTTCATATTGTGGTGACACCCCAACCATAAATTATTTTCGTTGCTACTTCATAATTGTAATTTTTGCTACTGTTATGAATAGCAATGTGAATATGTGTTTCGATGGTGTTAGGTGACCCCTTTGATAGGGTCATTCGAACCCCCACAGAGGTGGCGAGCCTTGGGTTGAGAATCAATCACTCACTGCCTTAGGAGCTGGCAGTGATTTTGATTTCCTGCAGAGACCAAGAGGTAGGTGTAGGTGTCGCAGTTGGACAGGGGTGGAACTCCAGCTTCGGTAGGTGATTACCCAAGTAAATATAGCCTAGCGTCCCATACTCCCAGTTGGTGGCATGGAAATACCAATCATGCTTAGCTCAAAGCTCAACCATGAAGATCGTCCGTTACGTGCTATGCATTCATTCCACAAACAAGGAGCTCCGAGCCATCAGTTCTGAAAGGCATATTGGGTGGAGCAGCCAAGAAAATACAAGGGGTAGACCATTTGGAGCCTGAAAGGAGAGTCCAGAGCAGGTGGGAAGCAGTAAACATAGTAGCTTGACAGAGAGCAGTTCCCAGAGAGCCGAGCTGCAACCTTAGGGACAGATCTGGGTCAGTCTGGCTAGAGAGCGGTTGAATCTCATATGACCAATGTGACTTAGCTTGCTAGGGGTCATCTGGCCTTGCCCAAGTAGGAGCTGCTCCCACTCCACTCAACCTCCCTGGACGTCTGGCAATATGTAAGGAAGGATTTTTGGTTGCCGTACCTTGGAAAGAGAGGGATTTGGTCACGGCATTTAGTGGGTAGAGGCCAGGCAAGCTTCCCTCAAAACTATGCCTTATCTAGGACAGCCCCGACGCCAAAATTAAACTCTTCCAAAATGTCAGGAGCGATGATATTGATAAGCTTTGCTTGCTACACAGAAAACAGTAAGGTGAGAAATGAAAAAGAAGCTGCGCTTGCTGCGTGAAGAGCGCAAACCAAAGTCTAGAGTGGCTGAGTAAATGGGAATGAAGTGGAAGGAGGCTAGACTCTTGCTAGTGAGGAATTTGGGGTTGCCCCTAAAGCAGCGAGAAGCTTCCGGAAACGTTTCTGCCGGGAGGGTGCGAAGCGCTTAGCACGCACGTCCAGGCGCCCAGTGGATAAGGTCTGTTATTTATTGTCACCAATGTGTCTTCCCTACCCCGCCCAGCTCCGACCCCTGCCGCAGCGTGGCGGCAGTGACTCCTCCCGGCCAGCAGAGGGCGCCGGCCCGCACTTGGCCGCTGGCCGCCCGAGGCGGGCCTCCTCTTGCCGCTCCTCCCCCCTCCCTTGTCTTTTCCCCCTT